TAATGGTGACAAAAAATGGAAAGAACTGAGTGCATGCACAGTATAATTTTTTACTATTTTTATGATAATTAATTTGAGTCTTACTGATTCTTCACTATTTTAATTATGCTTTTTACTGAGTTTATATCCATTATTGGTTTTACTGTATTTTTTTAAATGTCAGTAATACTGTCAGAATTTGGAAAAGAGAGGGTGAGAAGAAAAAATTAGCTTTAATTTTACAAGTGATAGAAATGTTACCGTAGTGAACTTTAAAATTTTATATAAAAAAACTAAGTTGTTAAAAAAGTGCCTTAATTGGCCAACTTTAAACTTCAGCTGTGTGAAATATTATTTGATTATTAATGTGTTAATCATAAAAATAAAGCATTGGATCTAAGCACTAACTTCATTGTGATCATCTTACAATAAGAAACAAGCGACCTGGAAAAAAAAACTTGAAAAAGATGCACATGGAGATAATTTGAATTTTTTTTATGTTAGCCTTTGTTAGAAGTTCATAGATTGATCTTACTGTAAGTTTCGTATTAAAGTTCTGTACTGAAGGTCTGTACAAGGATCATGGGATAATTGGAATATTCTGTATTATAGCTTATGACTGTTGTTAAATAATATCACTGGTACTCCTGAGTTACTTTTTTTTAACATAACAAAGCATCAGTTGACTAGTTACGTAATCTGATGTGCAGTGTTGACTTTTGAAATCTATGTTCAAAAATGTTAAATTGATTCTACAGACTTTGCAGCATAATAAATTATCAGAAAGTGTTTGTTAGTAAATTAAGTGAATTTATTTTTATTATGATAATGAAAAATACAGTAACCAATATACAGTCATTGAAAGTAACCTTAAAGAAAGGATAGAGTGTAACTAAGTTACTATTGTTGCTGGAAAATAAATTGTGCTCACTGTCCAAAAAATCTGGTAAGATTGAGAAAGCTACCCACAATCTTAACAGCATCTTCACTATCAGATACTTGCACAAATGTTGTCACTGTTACTCATTCCATTATAAAATAATTGAGAGAAGTTACACCCTCCAGACATTAAATGCTCTGCTAGTTGTAAAAATTCCACTTTTATGTAGTAAATTGCATATAATACTAAGAAAATGCTAGTGGATTGATCCAGAACACCAGGAAAGTACAATGAACAGCCCACTATTGTGAAAACTATACTTTATATCAGTTAACAGTAGGCAAGAAATATTATCTATGCACTTGTATACTATAAGTGATAAGATTCATGGAAGTTTGCACTAATAATAATAAGATAATATTTAGAAAGGGAAGCAAACTTGAATGAATTTGCATTGCCAAATGCTTGAGGAGAATCTTCATTTGTGAAAAATTTGAGCGAGTTTATTAGATTTGTCCACAAAATCTTGTAATGTTGAAAAACTTCTAAGGTATTAAGCTGTGAATAGTAAACATAGTGGCAAAGCTTTTTTGGAATATTTGTTTTTGGAAATGGAAAGTTTATAACTCAAAAATTACAAATGACTGTTTTATTGAAAACTTAAATGTTTCATTAATGGTGTTGATATCCAAATCCAGGTATTTCACGTTGTTATTACTAAAATATCATTTCTCTAGACTGAATTCTGTTGAATAAATTTGGCAGCATTTCTTTCTAACCTATTTTTAACTGAAATATGCATAACAGGTCATGTGACTGGCCACCTGACATTTGTTTTGCATAAAGGTGAAATTGGGTGACATTGACATTATTTAATGACAGTAGTTGTGCTTGGTATAGCTAGGAGGTACAAAACCTCATTTATATCTTTATTGTTTTTAGCAATGTATATCATGCTAGAATTTGCTTATATATTAGTAAATTTATGTTTGAAATGTGTGAGTGGACAGAGTTTGTGCATTGTTCTTCTGTTTGTGGTAAGTTTGGTGGCCTTTGAAATGTGAGAGTAAATAGATAATTTGTAGTTGTAATCAGTTAATCGTTTAATGCAACTTTTCTCAACTTTTGTTATTCATACACAATTTTCATAAATATGCTTCCTTGCATGAACCCCCCCTTTTTTTTTTAAACAAGTGAAAGAGTACGTTAAGTAATGAGATATAACACATTGATACACATTAATGTGCTATATGTGTTGTAGTAATTACTTATTATTTTCATTAATAAAAAATATATCAAAAATGCTTAATATTGCACTATTGACTCTACCCTAATTGCTTGCACCCGTCCAAGAGATCATTTGCACCATCTTGAGCACTTGTGCCACACACTTTGGGAGGTGTAATGGCATTTGTTAGACATGTGAGAGTGAACAGATAGTTTGTGCATGGTTTTTGCAATTGTTATTTGTTATCAATATTGAAGAATTAACACAACTTTGGGCTTTTCAAACTAACAAATTTCGTAAAAATTTGAAATACAAAAATTAAACTTGTCTATTTTGTTGTGTAGGCAGTAGCTGCTTTGAATCATAGTTTAAAGTCTGTAGTGAAGGACAGTGAAGAAGAAGAACCACAGTTTGATGAATTTCCACAAGTAAGGTTCTCTTAAGACATCTTTATTAAATTATGCTTTTAAGAATTAATATACACTTCAACTTAAAAAATTTGAATAAAAAACATTTTTAGTCAGATTTGAATTGACACTACATCAAAGAAATGTCAGTCGTTTAAATGATGAGTTTTATATATATCTAATGTTTTCTTGTTTGAAAGTGTTTATCATTATTTATTAAACATACATAAACAAGTATGAAACCACAATTACAACAGCAAAAACTACGAGACACAAAGATTACTATCAGAACAGTCACTAACTATTACAGTACTTACTTAAACAGCCACTACCAGAGAAATAAGAGATTATAGGTTTAAGCAATGTTCCTTCTAATTTTTTTCAATCCATGTGCGGAATGAATTTTTTCTTGTGCACCCGTATCGAGGGATGTATTTTTAGACTGTCCATCAACCCTACTGGATCATTAGGCTGCTTTGCAATGATACTAGTTGGTTATTTGGGCTTTAGGCCTATCAACTGCCAGTGTCATTAAGGCTGTCAACATTACTGAGGATGTGCATGGCACTTGATTGATTATTGTGTAGTCGTGCAGGTTAGGGGTGAACACTGGCTACAAGATTAAATAATTTTAGAGCATTTACTGAGTTGTTATTTGAGCAATTATAACAATTCACTAGATTAGCCATAAATAAAACAGCTACTAAAGCAATCATTAAAGTGATCTATTTTCAAGTGATTATAACAACAACCACTAAATAAACCACTTTTAGCACAATTTATATAATACTTGAAAAGTTATTATACTAGATTAGTTGCTGTTAAGAGTAAATGCTAGAACAGCCACTAGGTGAGCCATTATCAGAGGAATTACTGGAATGACCACAAAATAAGCTACAATACAAGTAATTTCTAGAGCAGCCACCAGTTTATTTAATGTTAGGACAATTACAATAGCATTCACAAAATTGGCCACAGTGTCTTAAAGTGTGATATTAAGTAAATTTTCTGAGAAATGGGTATGCAGTAAAATCAATGAATTTATATTTAATCATAAAAATCGTGTTGTATGTTAATTTGCAAGTATCGGAAAAAATGCAGGCATAATTATTTTACATAACACTTCATGCAATCTAAGAACATAACTGTCTCTGAAAAATACTTCCAAGTAGCTATCTCTAAAACAAATGCTTATTGATATGACAATAAATGAGCAAGATGTAAGTAATTATACAATCCCATGTATTTCTATATGTAGCTAAAAATATACACCACACTTGGAAATTTGTTTATCTATAAACTTGGCAGTGAAAGTGTTAAAACAGTTGTTAGGGCAATGATCAAATTGCCCAATATTAAAGCACTTATTAAAACAACCATTAAAATAATCATTCATACTGCAATTGCTGGTTATGCCTCCATTGGAGGAATTACTAGAAAAAAGTGCTCTATAAGCCACTTAAAGAAATTATTAATAGAATTCAGGGGTAGAGTATGTTGTATTATAATGATTTTGGAGCCTCATCATACAATCCATGTCTCCATGCCTAGTCATGCTCTCTATGGTAATGTAATTTGATAATAGCCATGCAGCATATTTTTAATTGCAAAGTGCTGTTGAGTCCAAGGCATGCCACTCCTCCCTGTATGCTTTTGACAATCGATGTAGTGTACAAGGATGGTTTCCTATTAGCTGTGTCAACAGTATATTCATGCATAAACTCATAGTCACTGCCTTGACTGGTATGACTTTTGTATAGAATAGCATGAATACCTGCTTCATTCTCCAGCTGCTTGAGGTATGTGACAGTTGAACAGATGTGTCATGGAAGTAAGTTGTGTCATTTCTTGATTTTGATGCATACTATTGCTTGTGGCACGTAGAAGATGACTTTTTCCATTGACCTTTGTGTTTGTGAATTTTCATCTGTTACAAAACTGCCCTTTGCTTACCACAGTTGGGGCACATCTTGTTTCATGTCTCTTTTTGGGACCCAAGTTTATGCACATTCCCATGTTTTCCAATGCCATTAAGTACAAGGGATATCCTATATTGGAAATTCTAAAAATCCAATTTGAATACATCTTTATGATCTGAGTATATGAATATTTTCTTGAGAAGACCTGTTACATGCCCATCCAAAATGTGATAAATTTTCAGTGGCATTTCACAACCTACAAAATGGTAAACAATGCTTAAATGTAATTCTGATACCTGCCATTTCATTGTGACTTCATATTAGCCATGTTTGTCATATGGGGTGATAATTTGCACATTCAAAATTGTTTTAATACTACATACTCTACTTCATGTTATTACTAGTTATCCGTATCTTGATGGGTCAATCATTGTGACTGACCATTACGTATTATAACTGTGAATTTACTATTAAGTAAGAGTATTTTTACAAAATTTTCCAAACTCTTGGTAAACATTACAAGTCTCATATATACAAAATCAGAATTTTAGCAAAATGTTTATAGTAAAAAATTTTTTTGCAAGTGTCTGAAACCTTTACTAAGTCAATCTTATCACAAGGTAATTTTTATGCTAATATGAAAAATACTTCTTACAGTTTTCATATTTCATTTGCATAACATCTAGAACATCCTAAATGAATATTAAATTAGCAAAGCTTAAATTTGGAAGTAAAATTTTATATTTTATCTGTTATTTTTTCTATCTTAATATTAACTGTAGCTGAATCATCATCGTACAGTGAAATGAAATTCTGAAAGTTATGAAATAAGATTAATGTACATTTATTTTTCTTTCAGTAAATAATTTGTAGCCAAACCTTGAGTTTGTTAATCACAATTTTAACGGTTTACCTTTTCATATATAGTTTGTTTTTAATTTTGTAATTTTTATTGCCTAACTTGTATGATGTACATGAACAGTTTATTAATTTTCTGAAAAACATTATATTGCAGTGGAAAGATATTAAAAGATTCCCATAAACTCACCTGTAAAATTCTGCACTCATCACCTAGCAAGCTAAACCTTGTTAAAATTCTCTCCAACTTTTTTGATGAAAAAAATTTGAATGTTTCAAAAATGTATTTTAAAATATAACTAATACATAATTCATTAAAATATAATGTCCTAAAACAATGTTAATATGGGTGTCTTTATTAAGTTATACATTGGTTAAAAGATCATTAAACTCTATGAACATCAACTTTACTTAACAACATATTACACAAACAAGACCTCTAATCTAATGTTTATTACCACCAATTTCAAAAGGACCATTGCAAGCTTGATATTGAAAACAAGTTTTTTCTGTTGATTATAAACAAGTACATCAAATCAGATGACATGGTTTTGAAAACTGCCTTAAAATGTGATGATAGAAGGGATGGGACTTCTGTTGTGGGTTGGGAAAATTTATTATTATCTCACTAAACTGAGAAGTTAGGATGTTGAAACTATATACTGAACCTTGAAATTATTTATAGATTGTTTCTTCAGAGCTTAGATAGAGCAGATGCATTATGTTAAAGTTATGCAAGCTTACAGAGAATTCAAAAAGCAGATGCAGAAGTAAAGATTGGGAATTTTTTAAATATTTTCTTTTCAAATTAAGAAATTTATAAAAATATAAATTATAATCTACATTATGATGTTTATTTTATTGATGTACTTTGATAATAAAGTTGTGTAATTAAGTTTTGAATCTAACTCTATGAAGCTGTAAAACATTGGTATATGCAGGAAGAATTACTAGAACAGCCACCATTTTAAGAGCAGTTACTAGAAGAACCATTAGATTGATCACCCTTAGAACAATTATTAGATAATTCAAAATTAGAAATATAACAATAATATCTATGAGATAAGCTTTTACATAAATCATTAAAACAACTATTGAAAAAGTCTTTAGGATAATTAGTAAACAATCTCCATGTTAATTAATATTAGAGCTACTAATAGATCAGTCAGTATTATAGGTATTTTAGACAGTACTTAAGAAGTCAGAATAGCTGTTGTGCTGTTGACTATGAGAAGGAAAAATCAAACCATAATACTTCTGTTGCCTGTGTTTAGTTAGTGTGTTGCTGAAACAAACAAGTAACATTCTGAATTGTATTCTTGTCCATTCTTGTGTTTTACTATCATCAAAAAATTGCCAGTAAAATCCAAGTGGTGGAATATAAAGACCACATAATGATTTCACACATAAAAGAAGATTGATTCTTGGGTTATGTTTGTGCAGCTTTGTTTTTGAAAATATTTGAAAGCCTTATAATGTATTTAAGTTGAACTTTAATGATATAATAACATTTTCAGCAAGAAGATCAAGAAAAAATGGATTTGGCTCAAAAGGAACAAGTAAAGATTCAGAAACTTCAAAAGCTCTTCAAAGGATTGAGGTTCTTTTTGAATAGAGAAGTTCCTCGAGAGTCATTAGTTTTTATCATAAAGTAAGTTTTATGGCATATTGGACAAGTGGGTTAAGCAAAACTTGAATAAAGCTTGGAATTTCTTTATTGCCTCAGTATAATTGTGCTTTTATTTGCATCCAGATGGAAATTATAAATTAGTTTTTAATTTAAATAGGTTTTTTGGGACTCTGTGTAGAAATAATTTTGGGAAGATAATTCTCACTTTATTTGAACTTAAAAATCAATTCAGGTTTTTCTATTGGTTAGATAGTGTCCCTAAACTTCAATAAAGAAACTATCATTTATTATAAAAGAAATCACATTCTAAAATATATATATATCGTTTGAAAATATTACAACTTCTGTATAGAATATTCTTTTTTTATTTATTAATTTTTTAGAGCATTTGATGGAGAAGTATCTTGGGACAAAACTCTGTTTGTGGGAGCAACATATGATGAGTCTGATGAAACCATAACCCATCAGATTGTAGATAGACCTAATGTAAACAAGCAGTATATAAACAGGTTTGCTGTTTCATAATAGAGTTAGCTTATTAAGTTACAAAGCAAGTTATATCAAAATTTTAATAAATCTGTTTTGCATGAAAACAATTCTTTAGTTCATAAGTTCAGATATTGTTACAATTCACAGCCTTATGTAAAGACTGCACAATACTATCTGGTCTTTATAGACTTCTGCTTTCTGTATATTGTGTATTTTGTGAGTGTGTAATACTTAACATTGTGCAGTTGATATTTCATTATTATTTACTTGAAGATATAGGTTAACTTAAATTTTGATTTCCCAATATGATCTTCTTAAAAGATATTTGATTCAGGCATTCCATTCTTTGAAGTACTGGATATTGCACTGTGAAGTTTGTTTGGATCACTTTAGGGGGTCAGTAGTAAATTTATGGACTTACAATGCTAAAATCTGAGGTTTGTGGTGGGCAGAGTAATATAGTCTATTGTGTAGCTTTGTTCTAAAACAAAAACTTTGTTTGTAGACTGTGAAGTATTCATTTTATAATTTTAGGTGTTCACTGTATTCTCTACTTTTCAGAAAAAGATATTACACTTGCAGGGGACAAAATATTTGGATTCACATCACAATTTACAAATCAAAACAACCCCAGTTGTGAATTATTTTCCTCTTTGCTTAGCATAACATGTAAATCATTCCTTTCTCTTATACATTGTCTTTGGGACCTAAAACAACACAGTGAAAGTGCCATAATGTTTCAGTTTGATAATGCCAAAGCTGATGATCATTTCTTGGAAATTCCACCTAACAACACATACAATATTTTAACACTTTATGTGCATATTGCATACACTTTGTAGTAATCTGTTCATACTGTTTGGAATCCACCCATTCGGGGGATAAAATACCTAGAGAAAATGTGTCACACTAGGGATGATTCAGGATTTTTTTAAATATTGCTTTATAAAATTAAGAACTTAAAACTTGTATACTATTAAAATATGGATTGTTAGTGAAGGTTTTATGCTATAGTAATTGATATACCATAAACAAAAACTAGTTTAAGAAAAATTTGAATGTAAGACACTAATACTTTGTGTCATGTTCAGTAAAGGATACCTGAGGCGAGAGGGTTAATACATAATTGTTTTCTAGAATTTTTGAAATGGTCTTATTATATGAAGCAGTATTTGTTGTATGTCTCACATCAGATGTTACACTGAGTTTAAAAAAATATACACAATAGTCAAAGCTTCCAAAACCAAGGACGTTTCTTCAAAGATAAATTTATCATAGAAATCTTACCTTGGAGGATATACGATCAACTAAAGTATTACATTTTCACATGTATTTTAACTATGAACTACATTCAACTTTTATAGCAGCTATATCATATCATTATTACTGTTGTATATAAACTAGTAATTATGTAAGTAAAATTCACAGTACAAGTTAATAGTCTTAGTATTTCACATAGGTACTACATCCAACCCCAGTGGGTCTATGATAGCATCAATGCTTGCATGTTGTTGCCAGTGGAAGACTACTTCCCTGGAGAAATTCTGCCTCCCCACTTGTCTCCATTTGTGGAAGAAAAAGAAGGAGATTATATTCCTCCAGAAAAACAGGCTCTTTTAGATATGCAAAAAGGATTAAAGAAAGGTACAATAGAAGGATACAATTACAGTTCTTAATTAGAATCTTATATCTTAAAGAAAGGTGTAAGAGAAGGATATAATTACAGTTCTTAATTAGAATCTTATATCTTAAAGAAAGGTGTAAGAGAAGGATATAATT